GGTACAGCAATGTAATTGTTAGCAAGAAACAGTGTCAACAAATAGCCAGTAATTTAATACCGTAATGACTGCTTCTGTATATTAGCCATGCATATAGAGCACAGCATTAATAGTTTTTACTAAAGCTGAAGAAAATACAAAATTAAAAGTACATAAGTACATAAGAAGAAACATTAATAGTAATAATAATAATCAAAATAGGAAATACGTTTTTACTAAAGTTGGAAAAAACCATAAAATTAAAAGTACACAAGAAGAAACATATTTGTAATAAAAATAATTATAATAGTAAATACTTCAAGTTCACCCAAAAAATGTTTATAATAAAAAGCATCTTGAATTTTTAGTAGGCTGAGTGGTCTGAGCAGGCTGAGTAGCTTCTGATGGCACTGAAAGCCTACAAATTAATAAATTTAGTCATCACAGGAAATTTCCTACTTATTAGCAGCTTCTTGAAATTTCATTAGATAGAGTTTCTTTTTCAGGCTTTCTTTAGTAATGCTAGGATTTCTTCTAACCAAAGCATAAAGAACTTGAAATGCAATGGTTTGTGTATCACTATGTTTGTATTTATCCATTGCTGATTGAAGATATCCCGAATCATCATCACAAATTTCAACAATTTTTCTGATATCTTTAGCTTCAAAGAAATTAGACAATAGCAACAAGTCATCACGTTCTATGTCACTAAATAAAATAATAAACATTTTAAAGCAACATAATTTAACCTTTTTTTGGTTTCAGTGTCCTTTTTAGGTTCAGTGTCTTCAACATTCTGGCGAGTACTACCAATAGAAAGTCTCTATTGTGTAAAAATAATTAGTTTTAATTTTTACAATTGAGCTTATAATTATTATGGTATAGATCCATGCATAAAAATAATTTTTAAAGGTGAAGTTTTGGTGCTAGCATTTGTTGCCTAACTACAATAACAAAAAGTTTGAATTATGAAAAAGCTTTCAAATTTACTTTACTAGTATCTCTGTAGTTGAAGACTTTAACTCTATTATGAAATAAAATAATAAAGAATCAAACGATTGATACACTTACTGATCAGCAAGTTGGTCAAGATCAGCTAGTTTAAGAGCTTCAACTAAATCATCTCTACTTTTATTTTTATCTTTCCACTCAAAAAGCAGATGAAACATTGGATCTTTACAATGAGCTGGACTTTGCTGGAGAGCCTTAAAAGTCGGAAGCATTTCCATGCATGCAGCAAGAATAGCAGCTTTGTCACCAACTCTCTTTGATATCTTAACAATTTCCTTTTCATCAATAGTTTCAGGTACCTGTAAAAAAATCAAGTAAGTAATAATGTATTGTTCTTACTATTACGTTTTGGGTTGTCTCATGACTCTGGTCTTCTTCAAGTTCAGGAAACCAATAAGATTCTTCAGAAGTTGGTTGTCGTTGCGTTTTTCGTTTCTGGCAAAAAAGATTTAAGACAGCAGTTTGGCCTGAAGCAGGAGAAATGTAATGAGGCTCGTATCCATTACATGCAGTAGATCTACACTCATAATTAAGACTTCTTTTTATTTTGGAAGAATTTGCTAGAGTTTCGTTTACTTCATTGCCACATTTCTCCAGTAACCTGTTTAACTCTTGGCAAGTACTACGGAATGGCACATTTGGTACATCAATAAAACGCTCAACACTAACTCGTATTGTAGTACAAAGATCAGTGAAAGTAACCTGGTTGACACTTGGAGTTCCAAAAAGAAAAACAATACGATTTCGAAACACACCTTCTTCAAAACAAATTTTGCATGATGAATTTTTGGCAAATGATGCAATAAAACGAGTGAAAAAACCAGGAGGAACAAAATCAGTGCTAAAAGTTATGTGAAGATTTGTTGCTCGGGCAACTGGTTTACCATTGGGCAAAGATTGTGTAGATGAAATATCATATGACTTTAGCACAGCAGGTAGGAAATATTGCTTTGCATCTTCAATGTAAAACTCATCTGTTTTAACTTCAGCTGCAAGACGAAAATGAACTAATAGCTCCATCAAGTCATCAGCTTTAATTTCTGTACAATTTTTCCAAACCTCTTGATACAAAGGCTCAACAAGAATACCTTTCTCACGTAATAAGCTCCACATAGCTTCTGTTGCATCTTGGTTTTCTCTGCCCTCAAGTGTAAAAACTTTTCCAAGAGTATCAACAAACCACTGAGGGTTTATGATAACTGTATCCTGAAGACCTTTGATGAATGAATAGTAAAGGAGAACTCCAAGATCATGATAGAAACGAAGAACTTTAGGAACATCATTGAGAGGAATCTTACATGCTAAACCAATTTCATGAGCTTCTTTTAAACTAATAACCTTCTTGTCAAGCATTTTGATGACTTTACGAAACAGCACCCAGCTCACTAGCGTCTTGACAATCAGCTTGTTGGAGGTGAAGTCATTAACTTCTTTGCGAATGGTTGAAAAATTCTGATCTTCATTACGGCTTCCAGCAGTTGTGTTATCAACAATAAGCACCTTTTTTATAAGGTAAGCACAGGCTTTACCTTTGTAAGTGCCCTTCATCCTTTCAATAGCAGCAGCTCTCTGCTTATCATCAACTATCTGGTCGCCATGTGTACCAATGCAATAAATACGAGGATAACTGAGAAAGGCTCCTCTTTCATCTCGATCCAAGTGAAGATGAATATTTGTCATCCAATTAAATAGCAGATCCTTAGTGGACATGTTTTCTAAATTATCGCACACCAGATTTCCTTTTGTATTGAGAATATTTTCCCATTTCTCATCTAAACCCTTAGCTGCATTAAATATGAGAAAAAATAGTGTGCGTGGTGTAAGAAAAGCTGAAAGAATCTCCAAAAACACTGCCTGCCCTCCACAATCCCAAATGTGCATGAACGGCTGAGGCTTTATATCTTGTATTGGCACTGGCCCAATCTCTTGAGCACGTTTTATTGCTTTTGCAAGAAACAAATCAACTTCTTTTCTTTGAATTTCCTGACCAGATAATTCTGGAGGGCTTAGCGATGAATCTACTTTATACAATGATGAAGCAGCTACTGCAGTACGAAGATTCTCAGAACCTGAAGCTTTTTCATAAACTGCAGCAATTAAACGGGCAACTTCCTCAATTTCGTCATTTTCATCAACTTCTTTCCATTTTTTATCACTAAGCATGTGAGTTCTGTACTGAACTGAACGATCACTCCCAACTTGATGCTCTTTCTCATGATGATGATCTCGTGGATTCTGGTGTTGCAGGTTATGATTACTTTCAAATACTTGCCTTCCAATAAATCTTCTGGTATTACTAGAAACATCTTCGGGATTATCTGGTCTACCTGGCCTTTCATAACGATCTTGTGAATTATAACCATCTGGCCTATAATGATCCTCTGACCTATAATGATCTTGTGAAGCATGTGCATGTGGCCTATAACGGTCTGTGTGTGCATGTGGCCTATAATGGACTGGTGAAGCATGTGCATGTTCATTATAATGATCCTGTGAATTATAACCAGATGACCTATAATGATCCCGTGAAGTACGTGCATTTCCCATATAGTAGTTTGGTGAAGTATGTGTATCTGCATAATGACGAGCCTGTGAGTTATAATCATCTTGCCCATAACGATCCTGTGAAATATAATCAGCTGACCTGTAACGACCCTGTGAAGTACGTGCATCTCGCCTATAATAATCTCTTGAAGTATGTGCATCTTGCCTGTAACAGTCCGGTGAATTATAATCATCTGACATGTAACGGTCCGATGAAGCATGTGAATCTTGCCTATATCGATCTCGTGAAATATAATCATTGGACCTATAGTGGTCCGGTGACGTATAATCATCTCGCCTTCCGTACTGGTCAGGTATTGAATGTCTCCT